TGTGGCCAGGGCTGGGGACCCTCCTGCCATTAAGGTCAGGTGACCTACCTCCAAGGAGCCCCCTCTTGGGAGGGTTCTCAGGGAGTTGATGACTCCATCAGTCACTCCTGGGCTCCTTGCCTTCCCTAAGCATCTCTGCTCCTTTGGACGTCCCCTCTCGGCCAAGCCCATGGAGCCTTCTCTGAAAAACAGCGTCACCCGAGGGACAACTCCTCTGCTGATCTTGGGAAGGACCCTGCTTCCTTTCTCAGGTTTCCTCAGGGACAGGCAGGTAAAGTTCAGGTTTCCCCTTCTTAACTAGATTCTCTGCCAGTAAATTAAGTTCTGAGCAGCCAGGCTGAGTGAGTGGGGTTTCCGGCTACCTAGAGGGGAGGCTGAGACAGAGCTGGCAGAGACTGTCGGGACCTGCTCCTGGGATTTCACTGGGAATTTCCATTGGCAGAGAGCATGTCTTTCTCTTTCCACACCTGGCAGTCTCCCAAAGCCACCTGGCCATCCCTGAGCCTGGTGGAGGTGGCAGCCTGCAGGATCGGGGCTTGACGGCACAGACTCCTCAGGGACGCTGCTGTGCGCGCGGCGGGAACTCTTTGCTGACACAGCACTGCCAAAGACGTGTCTCTTTCCTGCCTGATCTGGGTGGAAAAGCCTGAGCTGAGCCCAGGGTGGAGCTGGAACCATGGAAATGTCCCCATCACATCCAGGGCCGGGAGGGCAGAAGGACAGGAAGAGCAGAGAATATGCTTCTGGGCCGAAGTTCATGTTCTTGGAAGCCTGAACCCTGGCTCCTGGAAACAACAACTCTCCCCTCCTAGAGGCTTCCTCCAGCCTGTCTCCAGATCTCCTGTCCCATGTACAAAGCCCGGGAGAGGCCACAAGGCCGGCCCCCTGGTGTTGGACCATCCTGCCCAAGAACTGCAGGGCAGAACCGGGCACCCACACAGCTCACCGAGTGCATCTCTGCCCTCCTCTCTCCGGAACTCGGAGCGTGGGACTCAGCCACTATATCAGAGGGCTCACTGAGGAGCCCAGAGCTCTTCCAGACCAGGCTATGGGTGGCCGTGCTCTCAGGGGAGGGCTGTGTCTCCTTCCCCTCGTGCCTAGCAGAGGCCGATGTCCTCCAAGAGCCACAGTGGCAATAGCAAGGCCAGGATGTCCTCCCTGGGAACCTGCCTTGGCAACGACTCCAGTGGGGGTGTGTTACCAGTTCCCCTCCATATTCCTTTTTCTGGATAGTTCTCCAAGGATGCAGCAGCCTCACGCTGAGACGACTGCTGTGTCTCTCTTATGCGCTACTATTTTTAGATTTGTGAATCCCTTACATAAGGGCCAAGCTGACTTAGACCGACGGGGAGTGACTCCCATCATGCAGTACACCATGCTGAAAAAGATCCCAAGATCCCCTCTGTGCTCAGTGGGAAAAAAATGCTGTGACCGATAAGCGACGTCTGTCCCGGGCGAGGGACTGGACGGTGTGGCGGGTGGCGTGTTCTGTCTTTTCTGATATAGCACTGCAGACTTTCAGAAGCACTCTCACATGCGTCACCTCATTTGATTAGAACGACACTGGTCTAGTAACGATGAAGCTCGTTATTCATTTATAAAAGGAGACATCAGGAGCATGGAAGTTAAGTGTGTCTTTTCCTAAATCACCCAAGTGAATTAGGGCCAGAGCCGGGATTAGATTCCAGATGTCCTGAGTCTGAGGACTGTACGGGGAAGACACTTAGCTCAGGGAACACTGGAGTCTAACGAGCCAAAGTGTTCGCATGTCTTTGGGAAAACAGTGCTTAGTAAGTCTTCCCCAGGCTTGAAATTTGCTATTCTTTATGCATATGTGTGGGATGCTGGCAGGAACACAAGAGTGTGGAAAGGGGATGGGCTGCCCACGCTGGAGCCGACTGCCCCTCTGGTTGCTTGTAACTTAACAGTGGGCAGTCCCTTCTCCGATTATATCAAATCAGCAAGGCACCCCAGGAAGAGAAAAGGGACCTTTTCAGAAACATCTGTAGGGAGCCACTCCGGACAACTTATTCAGTTACCATGGAAACCCACCCTTGCAAACTGCTTCAGTTTTAGGAAAATAGCTACAAACAATAATAAGCATAAATGAAAAATGGTACATGTTGCTTCAAAATTGTACTTGTTATTGGATTTGGTCGGGTTTTCGAGACCGAGACGGCAGGCTCATATCCACGAGCACAGGGAAAGGCAGCCGTCTGCCTGCCTGCAGGCCTAACGACAAGAGCCCACATCCCCCCTCGCAGATCCCTAATCAAGTTTCTGGATGTGACCTCCGGGGAGGCATTTATCAGAGGAGCTAATGTCTGAATTGTGGGAGGAAGGAGGATGTGCCTTGCAAGAAACAAACATTTGCTGAGCCGACGGGAAGGCAACATGGCGTCATGTGGAGGGAACCTAGACCAGGCCAAGACGTTGCTACGTGGGCCTGAGCTAGAAATCCTTTAAGAGATCAGGCTGAGATGGGAATCTCCGTACTGGTCTGTTTTCAAGGACTCTCAGGGTTAGCAAGGACCTTATGAAGATGACCTGGTCCAGCTCCTCCCACATGTGATATTTACATTCTCTGGGCAACATCCTCACCAGTTGATTCATGAGTCTGTGCTTGGACTATGCCAAGAGTTAAGTCGTTTTTCCTGACACTGAGCTGACGTCTAACTCCTCGTAGCTTCTACTCACGAACAAAGCAGACCCCTTTTGTCAATGATAATCCTTCAGCCACCTGGAGCCATGCTCCTGATGCTTCTGTGTTCTCCATGGGGCAGACACCAGTGATACCCTCACGGCCATTCTCCTCAGAGAGCTCTCAAAGTGAGACATCTGAGGTGGAACCCAGACCCTGGGACTGGGAAAGACTGTGTTGCTGCGGGCTCCTAAATTATACTTCAGAAATCACTGTGCATATGCAGGCCTGTACACTTTCAATCACGACATTTATCCTGATACCTGCTCTCTGAAAGCAGATAAGGAAGGCGAGGAAAAACAGTCTTCCTTAGGGTATGCTATACCACCTGTTAGATGTTTCTTGGACCAGAGAATCCCCATTGCACAGGTGAGTAAAACTGAGGTTCCAAGAAGGGGCTGACTTGCCCGTGATCACCCAGGAAGAGAATGGCAAGGCCAGGACAAAAGCACCAGCATCCTGCTCCCAGCCTCTGAACCTTCCCACAGGAGAGTCACCGAGCCCTGGGCACCCAAGTCCTGGGCTCCGTGTCCTAGGATTAGGGGTTGCCGGCCCCTCTTAGCACCCCGAGGCCATTCTCAATGTGTGCTTGATTGAGTCAGGCCTGACATGACAGCCCACCCCAAAACATCGCCTGAATCCCACAAGGAGGCATGGAGCTCCTCTCAAAAGGGCAAGGCAGCCCCGTGATCAGGGAGGGCCTGGGGACCCCCGAAAAAACGCATTTTGGTATCTGCCTAGAGTCTCCAGGGCAGGGACCTGATGAGTAACAGTGAAAACCTCTGGGGCTAGATCGCCTGACAGAAACACAGCAAAAGGGAGTCACCAAGAATCAACCAATTCTCCTCATCCCCTTAGGCAGGCTCTGATTGAAGGGGGACGGCCTGTCTCTACAAGAACAGAGAACAGTCTCTGTTCTCCCAGCAGAGCAGGAAGGACAGCAGGGAACAGTGGCAGCAAGGCGCTGCAGGCAGTGGAGGCTGCGGGGTAGGGAGGGGGCCCCGAGGCCTCCGGAGCGGGTGTGGGGCTGACTCACCAGGCTATGCATGATGCGCACGCCGTCGGGGTTCACCGTGAGCGCCTCCTTGTACAGCTGCTTGGCCTCCTCCAGGCTGCCCTTCATCTCGGCCAGCCGGCCCCGCATGTAGAGCACCGAGTGTGATGTGGGGAAGAGGCCCGCGGCCTCCTGGATGCAGAAGCCTGCTTCCTTGAGGTGCTGCTGCTCCATGAACAGCTCGGCTGTGAAACGAGACGGGCAGGTGAGGCTGTGGGAAAAGTCAGAGGCAGCGGCCCCCTCCCGCATCCGACCATCAGCCCCCGGAGTTTAGGAACTGGTCTTGGGTGATGGAAACCACCCCACCGAGACACAGCATGGGACTGGCTCGCTCTGGGGTGCGGCGGTAGCACCAGGCCGTGGTTTCTGAGCGCTCACTCTGTGTCAAGTTCATGCTCTGTGCTACACGCGGTCCGACTCCACCAACCCTCACAAAACCCTATGTGAACAACGCACTTCTATTACCCACTTCAGGGAGGAGGATACGGGCACAGAGAAGGTGAGGAACTCGCGTAAGGCCACAGGGAGAGTAAGCAGTGGAGCCAGGGTTTGCAGGGGGCTGTCTGACTTCAGAGCCTGGCAGTGGGGGCACGAGTGGGATCCCCTGCAGCTAAGCATTTGCTCGGGGGACTCTTCTGTCCCGTCACTTCACCTATTCATCACGTATCTGGGAACAGGGGGCGGGAGGCAGATGAGGTCGCTTTCCAAGGAGGGCTGCTGACTAAAGAGCTAATCCACCTGCGTGGTCAGGACGAGGACAGCCAAGTGATGCTACCACGGAGGGGTGGGAGAAAGGAGGCCCAGGGAGCGCCCGTGGAGGGCAGGGGTGGGGCTCACGCTGAGGAGCTACAAACCCGCCTGCACTTACTGAGAGCTGACCGTGGGCCAAGCAAGCATCTCCTCTCATTTAATCCTCAGGAGTCTGGGAGGGAGACTCTCCCGTGCCCCAGGCTGAGCGGGGGGGGGGGGGGGGCCCCCCCCCCCCCCGGGGGGGGGGGGGGGGGGGGGGGGGCCTCACCCCAGTCCCTCGGTTGGAAGGGGCAGCTCCCGGCCTCCCTCCAAACTTGGGACTTTCTGTCGCATGGAGAGGAATCAGGGATGCACACGCCCTTCAACCAACAGGTGGGGAAGATCCGCCCCACAACCAGTTTGCCTTCTTCCCCCAGATCAGTAGAAAATAGGGCAGTTTCTCCAATTGCGGGCCCACCCACACAGACGCGCATTTCAAACCCACGCTGCACAGGTACACACCTACTGGAGGCACCCTCAGAAGCGCGGAGCACCGGAGGTGCCTCGCAGCCCACTCAGCCTTCGTCTCGTGGCAGCGCGGGCCTGGCTGCCCCGCACAGATGGGAGGGAGCACAGAAGGGCAAGCAGAGCCTGGCTGGGGGCTTTGCCAAGAGCTGTTCCCAGCACAGGCCGAGAGCTGAGGTTACACGAGTTCAGATTAGGTCCAGGGGCTGGGAGCGGATAACAGACTCCCCAAAGAAAGCTCCCAGAAAAGGTGGAAGACCTGGGCCCAGGCAGCCCGTCTTCTGGTTCCAACAAGAAGCAGGAAGGAGGCCTAAGGCCCTGACTGTAGCACACAGCACAGGGGGCACTCAGCATGGATGTGGCCTAAGGTCCACTGTAATCAAAGTAGCTTGAATGCTGCAGAAGGCATTCTGAGCAGGGTACTCTTTCTCTTTTCTGGAGTAGAGAATTTGGGAGAATCAGAGAATTAATTAAACTCAGAGGAGCCAGGTTCCCATGATAAGGTGCGAGAGAAGCACAGGCTCTTGTCCTCAGAGATGGCCTGAACTGGAGATTCCCACGGTGAAAAGCTTGGAAGGCCAGGCCAGGAGGGGTGGGCTTTGAACCTGGGGCCCGGCAGGGAGGGCTGGCTATCTCGGCCTCGCTCTCCTCTGCTCTGCTGTTGTGTTCCCTTCCGGAGCTGCCGCCTGGGGCTCTCCGCCGGCTGCCTTCATACGTGGGTCCGATGTCCAGCTGCTGAGGACTGACCGTGTGCCTGGCCCTCCCATGAGGAGGAGGGGAAAGCAGAGCAGCTGAGCCACCAAGCCACTGGAGTGACCGAGGGCAGCGGAGTGACAAGTGCCATCGCTGAGTGTTCTGGGCGCTCGGACGGGGTCAGGCTAGCTGTGCTGGTGTGGTCAGGGAAGTCTTCCTGGTGGAGGCGGCATGTGAGCCAGGCCCTGAAGGCACAGGGACACTTGGACTGGCAGAGAGGAGAAGGGAGGCTGTGCTGACGTAGAGGGCTGGGACCCACTGCAGCAGGACTTCTCAGGGTCACAGAGGAGAAGGGAGAAGCAGAAGGAAGTGTGTGGTGTGAGTGCTGGGCGTGGGGAGGCCTGTCCTGCACCAGCCCCTGGGGCTGCTTCCTCCATCGCCAGGAGCTGAGCTCAGAGGCCAGCTCGCCACTCCCCTGGACCTTGTCCCAGCTGACCCTCCCCAGGCCTGGCCCACCTGCCCACCTGGTCCTGGCCCGCCTCATTAAGCTGTTTACAACTTGCTGCCCTGTCTCCTGAGCCCCATCTCTGGAGGCTGGCCCCGGTCCCTCCCTTGGGAACTCTTCACAGTGCCTTCACATCAACAGATTTCAATTATAGGGACCTCCACCTTCTTTCTTCCTCGGGGCCCTGGGCCTTTTCCTGGGCCCACACCAGAGAACATACCCTGAAAAATAGGTAGGACTGCTTTGCTCCGATGAACATTACCAGTTAGGCAGGAAACCAGATGACACGGAACAGAGCCAGAGAAGTGAGGGCTCCTGGCCGCTTTATGGATAGCCCCTGCCAGGCCCAGCCTCCAGGGCGGGGTCCCTGACCTACACACAGGCCCACAGGTCTGGGGGCTGCAATGCACCCCTTTTTCCTAGCCTCAGCGTCCCTGGGCAGTTGGTGCTCCCCAGACAGCCAGCCTCGGCTGCAGCAGGAGCCACGTGGCACGGTGCCCACCCACTGCCCGATCCTCTATGTCCCAGTCCCGGCTGCCAGGGCCCCGAGGTGCCCACACCCATCCCGGCCTCCCCTGGCCAGGGCTGGATGAGCAACCACTGTTACTGGGTTTCCCTTGAATTCTCATAGTCGAGGTCACTCCTCCAGCAAACAGGGGCCCTGCTGCCCGCTCCGTGTCAGAGGCCCCTCTCTGATCCCCTTGGTTCCTTCTCTCTCCCCCTCCCTTCCGATTTTCACTTCTCTCGTCTCCCTCTCTGCCCGCTCCTGACCTCCTCTCCTGTCTGTCTGTCTCGGCTTTTCTTCTTCCTTCCATCCTCTCCACCCACCCTCCTCTGTGCTTTCTCTCAGCAGGCCCCAAATGGAAAACATCTGTTCCCTGGAGCTTTGCAACAGTCCCTTTTATGATGTTTTTCTGAGGCATCCTGATCTAACCCTGCACCCAGCGCTGGCTGCAGTCTTCCTGCCCGTCTTGCCAGTGCCGAGCCCTCTTTGCAGGAAGGAAGGCCTCGCTCGCTGCTGCTGAGCTGAGAAGCAGGGTGAGGGAGGGCCCAGGGCCCCGCTTAAGGCCTGTAGGGGCCTCGCCAGGGGAGATGCGCTTCCTAGAGGCCCTCCGTGAGGCCCCAGAAAGGAAGGGGGACCACCCGAGCTAAAAGGGCAGGGGCCCCCAGGGCAGGAGAGAAGGTTAGACCCTAAAAAGAATACACCTTGAGCCCCAGGAGGGGTCCCCCAAACTGTCCCCTAAAGGAAATAAGCAGTTCCCCATGGAGCAAACCCTCAGGACATATGGATGCCCAGAAAAAAGGAGAAGGAAGGGTGGGGGAGGAGGAACGAGAGAGAAGAGCAGGGGCCCGGAAGGGAGAAAGGCCGGGAGAGTAACACAGAGAACGCAAAGGTCTGAAGGGATTTTTCGGGTTGGTCTGAGACCCTCCATCCCTGGGATGCAGCGAGGGGCACCGTTTTCCTCAGGCCACACAGATGTCAGGGCTGCACGGGCCTGGGCTCCCGGCTTCCTGCCCCGGGAGCGCTCTCCTCACGGACTCAGGAGGAGGGGCTGACGGGCAGAGAGGAGGAGAGAAGGGCAGGCAGGAGCAAAGGAAAAGAGGCCATGGGAAGCGGGCACAGAAGGCCAGAGCTGGAGAAGGGCAGGGAGCTGGGAAAGAATGGAGAGTGGAGGAAGATAAGGGAAGAATGAGGAGGAAAGAAGGAAACAAGAATTAGAGGAGCCTGTCGGACCAAGGGTCAGACGTAGCTTCCGTCTCAACTGTATCTTTATAATAAATACGCTCTTTAGACACAGCCCTGACTGCCCGACCCCAGGTCCCCAGTCTGCCCAGCCGACAGCAGGGGTAGCTTCCACCTTCGGGGCCACCTAAAGAGCCAGGGCAGCCCAAACAGTGTGGATCTGCCATTTGGGAGCTGGGACTCGGGCTAACTTCCCCTGACCCAGGGGAAGCCCACAGCCGCCTGTGAGCCCCTGGACCTCCAGGAACTCTCCCTACACCTATTTCCCTCTCTCTAGCACGTTGTTAGCTCCCAGAGACATGAGCTTCAGTGAGAGAGAAAGCTGGGCCATCCTGCCCTTCTGGAAGGCATCTCTTGACACTCAGGATCCTGGAGCATCTATGGGGCCGGGTGCCTCTCCCATTTTCACACGAACCCACTGGCAAAGAGGCAACATTTTTGAAACTCATCTCTCGGGCGGAAACCCTCCGTGAGGCTTCTCACATCAGACTGGAATGGGAAAGAGGCTTGCAGAGGGAGGGGAGGAGAATGACAGTTGGGAGATGAAGGATATAACGTTAACCAACCTAAGACTGGGTTAATGACGGAACTTACTGCCAAAACAGACTGGGATGCAATTTATCTTGAACCAGACTAAGGCCTTGTTTGTTATCCCTCTGGATTTCTCAAAGTTCCTCTTCCTACTTCAGATGTAACAAGCTGACGGTGGAGCACAGCCCCATATCCCTAGCATCCTAAGGGAGCCTGATGTGCTAATTGGGGCAATATTTGCATTATTAACATGCTTCCCGGTCTAGTCTTTCTGTGAATCCTGGTCCAACTTTTCCCCCCAGATTTAGAGCCTGTGGAGGGGAGAGCGGGGGCGACCTGCATACTAATGTGTCCATATGTGAAATCCATGCAGCGGGGAACCTTAGATCCTCAATCAACAAGCACATTCTAACTCTGACTTGCAAAATCCGCAGGTCCCAGGAAGGGAATATCTACTTTGCCTCCTCTCCATCTGCCCTCGGGGCTATCGACGCCACCCCCTTGCTGGAGACGGGGCCGATAGGAGGGTAATCAGTAAGAGGTGAGGCGCTTCACTCCTGGGTCAAGGGAGCGTGTTGGCCTGGTGCATTTTTAGGATTCCACTTATCCTACCGCCTTCTTCTTTCTTTTGCTGCTGCCACTCTATCTCATTCAGGTACATCTCCGGCCTTGATTCTCTCTTTTTTCACTCTAATCCACCTCTCACCCCACTGTGGGATTAAATTTTCTATCACTTCAGCGAGTCACTCCTCAGCATCCCTTAGCCAAACATCAAGGAACCTCACCGCTGGGGGTACCACGCTGCCTCTGCCTCTACCGTCACTATAGTGGACACGACAGAAGCCCAGGACCATCTACCGAGCACCTCCTATGTGCTAACTGCTTGACACACACTAGCTCATTTTAGATCAGGACAGGCAGTAAGTGAGCCGTGCAACTCTGAAGCCGCCGGCCTCCCCAGTACTAACAGACCCTCAAACTCCATGGTGGCAACGGTGCCCACTAGCTGTTAAGAGAGATTGTCACCCGAACGGCAACCCTAGGGTTACCAGCCCTCTGCCTTCAACGAACTTGACCACCAGGCCTCGCTTTCTTGGGGCCACCACATCTCGCCTCTGCTCTAGCTCTCCCATGAGCTCTCGGGGGTTTGAGTCCTAACTAGTTTTCCTCAGGACACAGCTCCCCGAACTTGGGCTGCCAGGGCAGACCCGGAGGAGCCAGAGGGGGCCCTGGTGGCCTGCAGGCAGGGGGCTGGGGACACTCACCAGCCTGGAGCCAGATCTGTTCCAGCGTGGTCCACAGCTGCATGGGGCCCTGCTTCAGAACCGAGCTGGGCACGGTCAGCTCCGACATGGCCTCCTCCAACCGGGAGGCTGCGATGGACGATGCCCGCCGAGAACCTGCAGAGCAAGGTGGGAGGGGCTGAGCCACAGAGTCCGAGTGCCCCACCGCAGGCCCCAGGACAGAGGCTGCGCAGCCCCTCGGGACCGACAGGGCACGCCGTGTCAGGGCAGGGCAGCCTGGCCCAGCAGCCGCTAAACAGCGCACAGACGCACTAGGAGGGGCCCACCTCCTACCCTCACCCAGGCCGGAGAGAGGAGCTTTCTGAGGGGCAATCAGGCGGTGAGGCGGTGAGCCCACTTCTAGGAGTTAATCACTAGGGAAGAACACCATGAATGTCGGCAACTGCGGGCATTCTACCACTGCCTGGGATACCGAAGACAGAAATGGCCTGACTGTCTGCCAACTGGGATTGATTAAAAATAAGTGAGAGTATAATCATACAAGACTATGCAGTCATTAAAATAACGATGCATAAATATGGGTATCGATGCAGAAAGAGGCTGACGTTATAGAGTTTGGTAAAAAGAAGCAGATTGCAAAAGAGTATGATCACATTTTTACAAACAAGAAAATATGGCCATGTTTCCGCAAGTCTGAAAGGCCATTTATTAAGGTCTGAGTGATGAACTGACGGACGACTTTTCCTTTCTTCCTTTTACATTTTTACTTCCTGTTTTCACAAGTGCCTATTATTTCTTGATAGAAAGGTCCCATTGGTGGCTGGGCTGTGAAGGATCCTTGGGCAGCAGCTCAGGCCAGACCCTGTGCCCTCTGGAGAACTTCTCCATGTGGCAGTTCAGAGTGACATGGGTCCCTGTCCGGGATATATAAGCCGTTGACATTTACAATTCACGTGCAGGTGAAATGCGAGCACTTTTTTCCCTCTCTCTCAGAGGCAGTAGAGGCTCCAATAAACTCAGGACACCTCAGGGCAAACCACAGATGATTTCAGTTTATAAGGCGGGTGTATACAGAGTCCTAATAACCTTGTCCAGGATCCTTCCCTCTCTAACTGCAAGGGAGCTACACTCTCCGTCACCACTGCTTCCTTGGCGTCCGCAGCTCCACGTCCAGCCCAGCAATCCTCAGACCTGCCTCTCAAGTCAGGTGCTGGGCGTGGCTTTGGAAATCCGCTCCATCACTTGACAACGAAGGCACAACTTGGTTCACCGCCACAGGAGTGGAAAAGATGAGCAATGCCACCAAACACAGCTCCCTGATGCTTCCATTCCCGTGACTAATTCTGCTTGTGTTTTAGGAAGGTGTTTGCTTTAATCAGGTCCTGGGTTAAAACATGTTAAGTTTGCAGATCCCGAACTTGTTTGAATGTCACAAGTCGTGGACGTCAGGATGAGTTTTTCCAGGAAACAAGTCAGCTTTGGGTCTGCAGTTGTAACCAGAAGCTCAGCCCTTCCTTTCTACTCGATGGATCTATGGTGGACATCATCACGGCAGACCTTGGCCTGGAGCTTTCCTAAGGGGACACGGTTTCCGTGCTCCACGGCGCCCTCTCCACCCCAGTCTCCCCCACTCTCTTCACTCCCCACACAGGGGGTGGGGTCCTTCGCTCGCCTACGCCAGCTGCCCACTTCCTGCCCCAGGGCCAGCAGCCATCCGGCCAAGATGGGCCCTAAAGAGGCCCGAGGTAGCACAGGCCCCTTAGCACAGCGGCTGGCAGGAGGTGGGGTGGGTTTGACCAGGCGGGCAGATGCTCAGGCTGGGAGAGGGAGCTGCGGGCTCACGTGGACGGCTGCCCACAGGGCACATTCTTACCGGAGTCTGCGTCGTGGGCATCGGGCAGAGTCAAGTGCATGCCACTCTGCTTCTTCAGCGTGAGGCCCTCGGCGAGGCTGCCATCCTTCTCCAGGCCTCTGGAAGGTAAGGGAGGGCCAGGCCCCGGTGAGGCGGAGGGGGCTGGCATGGAGAATGAGGGGAGCCTTATGCCAGGCAGGCTCCGGGGCTGAAGAGTTCAGGCCCGAGAACAGAGCCAAAGACCACTAGGAAGGATGGAGACAACCAGAGCAGCAGGCCAGATCGGAGCTCAGGCTTGGGATGCTAGAATGTGGCTCACCCCAGATGCTAAACCGACATGTTAGTCCTGATCACACACACGCACAGGGTGCCCGCTGTGTGCCTGTGGGGCTGTCAGCCTCCTCGCTATTCCCTAACGCTGCCACATCTTGCTTCCAAAGCTACATGCTTATTCATGCCGCTGCCACCAAGCATGTTCTCGGTCCACCCAAACCCTGCATTGTTTAGAACCCAGCCCGAGGGCCAACATCCATCCAGAGGCCTCCTGTGGCTCCCCTGCCCTCACGCTGCCTTCCCTCTCTGCTCTCCATCAGCATGGATCCCAGCACCACGTACGCCGAGGATGAGAACCTCTCCCATCCATCTATTCCCTCTTCTACTTTTCGTTACCCTCTCAACGTCTAGCAGAGAGCCACAGGCACTGTGGACCGGCTTCCAAGGGAAGCCTGGTTTTGCAGCTCCCTACCTTCCAGGGAAGGAAGGCCCAGATGCCGCTCCCTGCCTCAGGTTCCCCCTCCCCGGGGCTGCCAGGGTGGCCCCGGAAGAGCCAGAGGGGGCCCGAGGGTGGGAGATAAACAAGCCCCGCCAATTCCCCAGGTCCCTGCAGCTCCCACAGGGCTAGGGAGGCTCCTCTTTTCTCAAGAGTGGGGATGCGGGGGGACCACCAGCTCAGAAAGGCAGCACAACTGCCTGTGCCCATCCTGGAGCACACACAGCCCCCAGGCAGCCCCTGCCCCCTGCTGGGGGGGGCGGTCTGTGGCCTTGAACCTGCTGGTTGGGGAAGCTTAGAGGACTGAGGCAGAAAGGGCAGGAGAGGAGAAGGCAGGCCCAGCTGGGGGCCAGAGGCCTCCTCCCTTCAGAGGGGCACCAAGACGATGGTCCCACAAATAACGCCAGAGCCGGGGTATCCTTGCCATCCTAACTCCGGTTCACGTTGAACTTGGTTCTTTGGGTGCACAGCCATCTTTGTGGGCATTAGAGGAAACCATCCACAGAAACACAGTTGGTCGGGCTGGTTCCCACCTCTCACACCCACTTCTCATTCCTGGGAGGCACCTGAGTGCAGGGCAAAAGAGCCAGGGACACTGGGGGAAAGCCACGGGGCTGCCCTCCGTAGCTATGTGAGCCTCACCAAAGCTGCTTAACCTTTCTAGATCTTAGCCCTCTCTTCTTGAGATGATCACAGTTATTTTGTGCAGTTAATGAGTATGAGAATGTCCACCTCATGAGGTCGTTGTGAGGACTAAATGAGAACGTGGGCAGGTGCCCAGCCTGTGCTGGCCTGGAGCGGATGCACAGACACAGCTCCTCGTCCTGAAGCGGGCTCTCCTAGGGCTCCAGAAACAGCTCATCTTGGGGACCTCTTGCCTCCTGGTCCTAGGCCCCTACCCTGAAGAACCTGACAGCCAGATGGAAGGAGACAGTCCAAGGTGAGCGTTTAACAAAGACCCAGATGGAGAGAGGGCTGTGCTGGGCCATCAGAGGCCGGGCACTGGAGCCTCCTGGAGGGGCGGGCTGGCGCCAGGCAGAGCAGAGGAAGGCGGCCAGGGGGCAGAGCGGAGGTGGAGCCGGCAGGGTGGGGCGGGGCAGGCCAGACCTTCAGGCTGTGGATTCTGGCCTTGATCCTTGATTGCCCGAGCCCAGATTTTACAAGCCCTAGTTTCTGCTCTGTGGCTCCAGGTTCAGAAAGAATGCTTCCTCTTCTTGGGCAAGCCAGGAGGGGACTGGATCCAATCCTTTGGTCCCAACAATTTGCCTGCAGGTAGCTGGCCGGGCTGAGCTCTGCTCCACCCTGGGTTGGGGGGGCCAGGGGCCGTTTGCCGGGGAGTTCCCCAGAGATGAGGCTGCGGGTGGTGACTTGAAAAGACCCCAAGGCAAACCCGACCGCCCCATCTTGGAGAGCACCTGACAGCTTCACAGCTCTGCTGCTCCCGCAGTGGGGGCCCAGGCTAAGCCCTACACGCTGGAGATAAGGCTGCAGCTCAGAGGGGCCCCATCATGATCGCCTGGATGAGCAGGCAGCTGGCCACCCGGCTAAGAGGCGCTCTCTGCCAGCTCTGGCGACAGCTCCTCTCTGCAAGGGGAGCCAGGCTGTGCACCTGCGGGACCTGTCACAGCCAGTGAGTGGCAGAGCGAGGGGCATCCAAATGTGGGCCCCACTCACACCAGAGTCTGGCCCTCACCCTCACAGCACCCAGCTGCCAGGTGGTTCCCCATGTCCTTTCTGAAAAGTCCCTCACCCCAGAGCTGCCTGCTGGCAGCTTCCACCCACCGGTCCTGTTGGGCCCTGGAATCTCCCAAGCCCAAAGGCCTGCAGAGAGAGGGCCGACCCTACCCTGCCCAAGGATATTATTCCATCAGATTATCCTGAGGCCTCCTCTGTAAATTGCACCTTTAGAGATATTCCTCTGGGGATTCTAAGAGGCTGCTGGGCTGCCAGGGTCCCTGTGAAAATACATATACCTACCAGAGTGGGGCCCCTTGAGGAGATGACACAGCCAGACAAGGGGAGGAGGTGGTACCAGGGACCCGGAAGGGGCAGTGCACCGCCCCACTTGGAAATGAGGCCCATTTCTGCTTTGGGCTGTATTGGCTGAGCCCTGGTGTCCCAGAAGGTCTGAGCAAAGACTTTCTGCAGATTCAGCCTGGACAAGAGTGCCCTGCTCTGGCCCAGGAGAAGCCCAGAGCTTGGGCTGGGAACTGGAGAAGGAGATGGGATGTGTGGGGACAGTGGGTGAGTGGGGAGGAGTGGGGGGCCCTTTTAGAACTCAGCTTCTTCCTCCCCTCCTCTCCCAGCTTCCAAATGGAACCAGGAAAGAAGTGACAGGCTCCATAGGCTGGGGCTCCGGAGAGCCAGGTTCCAGCTCCACTGCTACCATTTACAGGAGCGGCTCTGGCATGTTATATAAGGTCTCTGAGTCCCAGTTTACCCCCTGGGGTGAGGTAACATCTGACAGTGGATAAGATAAAAGCAGCTGATGGGGGAGATGCTTAATAATGATTTCTCTTCCCTCTTACCCCTCTGAACTTTAGTTTCCTAAACAGCCTCTTTCTGTCCTTCATCGAGGATTGTCAAAAGGTTAAAATTAGAGCAGGGATGTAAAAGGCCCCAGAAGCAGCAAGTCCCATTCCCTCATTCAAACATCCTCACCACCTCCACCCACCAGGCATCATGGGCACTCAGCTGTGTGCTGTTGCCTTGGCAACCACCGCCTCACAACTCCATCTGGAGGGACCCACCACTCACCCCAGCTGGGAGAAGCTGTACAGGGTCTGCCACAGCCGCAGCATCTGTCTGCAGGTCACAAGGGCTTCCTCTGGGCCTTTCAGTATCTGCTCCAGCTTCACCTTGGTGAACATCAGGCTGTGGGGAGACAGCACGGCAGTGAGAATGCCTGAGGGGGCCCCCTTCCCCTGGCTTTCCTCCCAGGGTGGAACCCCAAGGGATCCTGCCCACCTCCCCAGCCCTTAGAAGGTAGAGTGCCCACAAGCACAGTGGCCTCAGCTGTATCCCTGGACCACGTGTTCTCTCTGTGCCTCAGTTTCTCCATCCTCTCTGCCAAAGCGCAGAGCACTCTTCTGCATTCACCAGTGTCCCTGTCGCTCACGCTTGTCCCGATGGTGTACTAGCCCGGCCAGCCTCTGAAGCACTGTCCAGGGCGGTTACGGCCTTGCTTTCTTTGCCCCTCCTCTCCCTCCACACCCTCAGCTCCGCAGCATCCTCACTGAACACGTGCCTATCTTTTCACTTATATGGCCCACCAGGCCCACGACGGGGCTTTATATAAGAGACAGACCCAGAAGCAAACTGCGACTCAAGGAATGAGGCTGAGCAAGGGGCTGGTGAAAAGGTCACAGAAGGGCACAGGGTTCTGCTTTCCGCCTCCCCAGCAGGCAACATCTCCTAATTGAATGCAAACTGTATCCTGACCCTGTACACCTGAGGAGGGTCAGGTTTTACTCTGTCGAAGGATTCTTCCCTGGATAGCCCCAAACTGCCAGCCCTCCTTATACATTCAATAGGATGAAAGTGACGTGAAGTCTTATTCCGTCACCGCTTAGAATCTCTCTCAACCCCCAACCCTGAAGTCCTCTGGGGTAAAAGCAGTGGGGACGTGGCCCTGAGAGGGCCTGGGAAGACAGAGAAAGTGCTGGCCCACCGGGAGGCAGGACGCAGGGCTGGCTGGCTGGCTGCCTCCCTCTGCCCAGGACACAGACAGACCGGCAGAACACTGGCTCAGCATGACCAGGATGGGGTCTGGATGCCCTGTGGTGCCAAGCAATAGATCTTTAACTGCTGGGGACTCTGGGGTCCTGGGGAGGGTCAAGGCAGTGGCTGTTTACCCACAATATGGAAGTACTGCCATCTTTTTACCACGGGTACTGCCAGCCACACTGACGCGCACCAGCCTGCGGAGAACCTGGCCGAGCCACTGAGGCCCGAACAAGGCTGCGACTCCTGGTTCTCTGTGGGTGGTGAGCAGTGACGCCCTTCCGTTCACGGCACTGCTTTTGGGCAGACCCGAGTGTCAGGCCCTGAATCTGACTGCTGCCTGGTGGTGCTGCCGGCCCACCTGAGGGTGGCACGCAGGCCCTCGCGGATCACAGAAGCCGAGTCCCGCGTTGGAGACAGGGTGCACCCCCGTGACCGAGGCTGCAGCAGAGAGCAGGCCCCACCCTGGGAGGCCAGGCCTCCATCTGGGGGCTTCTCCCTCTGACCTTCCCCCTCAGTCAGGGCCCTGGCCTCCCCTGCTTGCACTGAGTCCTGGGCCTCCAGCCTCACAAAGGACTTGGATGGCTTCACTCCATTCCTTTCTTCTCACACCTTGTTTTTCTCAGATTGTGACTTGTTGGCAGAGAATTAAAAGGGTGGAATTTGCCCCTTTTCGGTGGAGAGGGTTTGGGTTCTGGGCAAGTATTATTTTTCTTCCTCACTTTCCCTCAAAAATCCATGTCCCTCTCTGCCCCTGCTCACAGGGTCGTCCCCACCACCACATGGCCTCTCCTCTCCTTTTTCATCCCTTCCCCCATGCTCAACTGTAAATCCCACCTCCCCCAGGAAGCCCTCCCAGATTCTCAGGATGCCCTGCACCCTCCTTAGAACATTTACTAACGAATCGCCCGGCAGGCCTACGAGGTCCAGAGGGCAGAAAGTGTGTTCCCCGCAGTGCAGACTGCACGGGCCTGGTGAGGAACGTGGTCTCAGTACTCCTGTGGGAGCTGCTGGGGACCCTGGTCTTGCCATCCCCACTCCCCTCTCCCGGACTCTCAAAAGGTCCGACACTCCACAAGTTTTAGGAGCCTCTGCTTTAGGAACGTGAAATAGAAGACATAATTTCTGCCTTCAAGGTGACAATCAGTGCTAAAAATGACAAATTGCCCAGAGAATCCAGGGCTGTATTTTTGGATCAGACTCAGTGCAAGGAAAGAACAGATGAGGGGTCTTGCCGGGGCTGGTGTTTGATGAAGAGGAGGGTGGGGTGAGATACAGTCGGGAGCTGGGGGAGGGAAGAGAAGCATGGGGGAGGAGGAGGGCCTGCGGCTGGAACAGGTGTTGGTGCGAGTGAAAGCTCCTCCCCCTGGAGGGTCGGGTCACCCAGGCTTTGTCCACTCCAAGGCTGCACCTCCCCTGGGCAGGGCCACTGGGAGCCGTCCCTGGGCAGACCAGCCCTGCAGCATTCCCCTGCCCCCAAATCCCACCAGACAGGCCTCCTCTGCAGCTCGGCCCTCTCCGCCCCGTCCCTTCCCCCTACTGCTGCCTGCGCCCCTGAGAGCCAGCGGGGGTCCGTGGCAGACCTGGCCACACTGTGTGCCCGGAACAGAAGCGGCTGAATGCTGAGCTGGCATTACAGTGACTTCTACCAACGCAGACCCTGACATTCCATTAGCATGAGTGACCCAGAGCGGAATTTCTCAACCCAACCACATCCTTTCTGGGCTGGGGCAAGCACTCCGACAGTCACACTCCGGTTGGATCCCTCACTCCCAGATCCTGGGAGCCTCCAGATTAGCTCCTGAGATTTCCTTGGCCTCGCAGTTCCGCGCTGCCAGAACCGTCCTCCTCAGCAAGGGGCCCTGCCCCGACTGTCCGTGCCACCTTCCATTCCTGCCACCTCTCCCCGTGACCTTGGGTACCTGTGGGCTGCTCACAGGGTATAAGCAGCTCCCTGCCGTGCAGGACAGGCTTTGTTTCACACTGTCGCCCCTGCTGGGGCTCACCCTTCCTCTCTGACATCTGGCCAACTCCTAACCAGATGTCACCCTCTGACCTTCTGTGCGTCCCCATGGGGGCTGCACCCCACCCCAACCCCCACGGCCTTTACGACATCATAGGGACTTAGTCATCCACACACAGTGGCCACGCCTCTAAGTCACCACTGAACTCTTTCCGCCTGGCAACGGGGATCAGCAAACAACCCCACTCCTTGCCACTCTTCTGAGACAACCAAACCACTGGTCTTGCTGGAGCACAGGTCTCCCTCTCTATCCCATCTGCTGGGATGGGTGGCCCAGTTCTTCACACAACGGTACGAGGAGGCTGGCAGTGCGCTAGGTGCCACTGTGGCTGCTGGGGTCCACACCAACAGGCCAAAGCCTCATCAGAGCACCGTGCTTCGTGGATGGGGCCGTGCGGAGGCCGCTGCAGTGAGGGCTGGGGAACAGAGGGGGCAAGCCCGGGCTCCCCGCCCCCTGCAAACAGCCCAGCCCCTGGCATACCTGTTTTATATGCTGAATGAGTCTAAAATGTCATCGGAAGAAAGGATTCTGAGACTTAAAAAAAACCCCACAATTTTAATCCAACGGTTCCAGTCCTCCTCCAAGAAGCGTGGCCACCCCTGCCCTTCTCTGAACGCTCAGGACAATCTTCAGTTAGCACTTAATTACTCTCTCTCATATATGTATGTATGTGTGTGTGTATGTGTGTGTGTATGTATGTATGTATGTGTGTGTGTGTAAACACACTTTTTTTTTTGCCACATAGGCTTATGCTTTTAACAATGAAGATAAACTCATATCAAGCATTGAAAAATTCAAATACTCTAGAAACAGTCTGCAGCCAGTCCTGCCTATAGATGGCAAAACTACCATTTATCTCGTCCCGTGTCCTGCCGCATGTCCCCACCTGGATGACGACTGCCTGCAGGACAGGACCCTGCCTCCCTCTATGTCAGTGCCCTCCTTGCCTCCTCAGTGCCTGGCACAGAGCTGAGCACATGGTGTCCGCTTAGCTTAACACTATGAAAATGTGTGTTGTCACAACCCTCCAGCCACGCTCTGCGTCTCGCAACCCATGTTGAATCAGAGCCGGCTTGTGACAGCCCCACGTCCCGCTGCTGGCTCCTGGCTAGGAGGCAGGCGAGGAATCTGCTCACTGATGTCTCAGAACTGCAGAGAGGGCTGGACTCACGCAGCCCACAAGCAAAGTGCTGGCTGATTCCACTTTAAGCTGTCCAGAAGCAAAGCTTCCTGAGGCCTGGGGAGGAACAGGGAGTTCTGGACGTGACATGAAAGCGTCTGGCTCCATGTGACTGGGGGTCTTCATCCCAGAGGACAGTCACCCAGGCAGAGCCAACAGCACAACTGAGGAGAGTCTCTGAGACAGGAAGGCTGGGGTATTGGAATCTTGCAGCCCTCCAACGACCTGACAAAAGCCATTCCGGAAGAGGAATGGCCACATTGCTGTCCTAACCCTGCACTGTAACGTCACTCGGTAGACAGACACTGGCCCAGGAGTGAGAAACCCGAGCCAAAGTCCCAGCTTTGCTGCTACCCAGCTGGGCATGTCACAGGTTCCAAACCTGTGAAATAGGAGTGGAGTCTCTTGCCCTGTCTGCCCCAGGGACTCCTGCAGGATGAACTGTGATGACCCAGAAGCAGCAGCTGAGAAACCTACAGCTGTACTAAGTCCTTAAGCACAGGCCTGCCCAAGGCTCAGGGAAGGGATTCCTTTAAAAATGCAGGCCTAGCAGACCCCCCAAAGCAGTGTCCAGGCCAGGTGTCTCTGAAGGCTCTCAGAAAACCCCAGAGCTTCATGGCCTGTTCAGCAAGGCAGGTGGCACCTTTGGCTCCAGGTGGTTCCTGGGACCAAAGATGGGCATGAGAAAGGAAGAGGATCAGAAGGGAGGGACAGAGCCACAGCCAACCCGGTCGGGGTGAACGAACCTCGGCCGGCTGTGGCCTTGTCTTGCAAGCACCTTCCTGTTTTTTAAGCTGCAGAATAAACACTGAGGTCTTTTAAGGCCGAACGCCTTTGCAGCGCCGCCATTGCATCTGAAGGCAGATGTGAAAGATGAGAGTTCTCTCTGGGGAAGGCGAAGGAGCAAGCATCAGTGTAAACGCCATGCCCTCTGTCCCCACTGCAGG